TTCGAGATCACTGATTGAGATCATCCATCAGTTTGGGAACTGTTTTTTTTTCTCCTGAACTTTCTTTTTTAGGTTATGCATATTTATGTTTATTATTATCTTATTTTGTAAACCGCATAACATTGTGCTAGAATGGGGCTGCTTATAAATCTCATCAGTAAATCCCAGGTTTAACTCTACTTTTGATTAACCTTTCATTGAATGGAGCTCAGTCAATCACTCTCAGAATAATTTATTGTACTACCAGAATGTTTTTGTAAAAGAAAAAAATAGAGCAAATGTTGTATACTGTCTTGAATACCTAGAGGGATGGTGGGATACGAATTTAATTAAATCTTTAATATCTATAGACTCTAGAGTATTGTAAGTAATGCTCAGAGGCATTTTTCTTTCAAAGGCAGGTTTGGCCATGCTGGCAGAAGATATTGGAAACTGGAGGGCTTTAGGTCAGGAAGTTGAACAAGTTGCTACATGTTGAACAATCTTGATCAAGTTGGTTTGGCACATAGTAAGGAAATATTGAATGAATTGACACTATAGGTAAATTATAATTAGGCTTGCTCTCTTAGACAGAGATATTGTTACACTAAAATTAAAATGCTTGCTAAATTTTCTACTCCTTTCACCAATTACCTTTTATGTATATTCTTTCTTTGTTAACAGTGATAAAAATATTGTCCACCAGGCTCTAAAAATGGCTGTAACATGTAGTGCATCAGCTTCCTATTTAATGTATTCACCCATAAGAGAATCAAATATAAACATCAAATTTATTGTCAACTGTCAAATATACCCAAAAAACAAAAAAACCCAAACATATGATACATACATGTGTGCACGTATATCACATCCTTTTAAACAGCTATACAGGAGGAAGAGAGAAAGAGAAGAAGGTGATGGTTAAAGAACTTATTCTTTCCCACAGGCTTGGGATATTATGATCACAGTGTTTACAATTTGAACAGGATTGCTTCTCTTCCTATGCTCACTCCTTCCTCTGAATAGTTTGGTCCTCGTAGGCAATGAGACAATTTGAGGTTAATCTTTTTAGTGGTACAGATTAAAGATTGGCCTGTTGGATAATTCTTATAATTCATAGAGCAGGGTTACACTTTTGTATCATTACACTTATGCTGGGGAAAACTAGAGGCAAACTATCTCCATATAATATGATTCTGCAGTGTACACATGGTGAAAATAATGTTTATCTCCATTTCCTATGTAATAATGTACAAGTGGTTACACACTACATTAATCTTCCCAGTCTTAAATGTACAAGGCTACTTGTACAGTTAAGGAATGTGTGTCATAATTCCCACGTGTGCATCACATTATCCAACATACCAGGAGGACACCTAGTTGGAGAAAGCTATACTAGATTTTTATCCATTAAAAGAGAATCCTCACATATAACTCTCTCCTTAATGGTTGCCCATATAATATGAACAAGCCTTTTCTACCTTGTCTTCATTCACTCCATCTGATCAGAGAGAAACTAAAAGAGAAAGAATAAATACACATGTTTTGTATTGTCAAGTAGAAAGGTTTACGGTAGGGGAGGGAGCATAATACAAAAAAGAGCCAATGCAGTAGATTCAGAATTTCTAAAACAATTGTGTCATCTGGCACTCAAAGGTATACAAGTAAGCACTGCTGGTTGTATTTCACCATATGAGCAGATTCTACAGCTCTCCAGTGCCTCCCTCCATTTCTCTGGTACCATTTTTTAAAAACCTGGAATGCTGAAGATTTTTTCAGGTGTCATTATTTTGTCCCAGGAGAGGTACAATAAGAAGAAAAACCAGACTGAAATAAGAACAGCTAGTTCTCTGCTGGAAAGTGTGAAGAGCTGAATATTTTTAGGTTTGCAGATTTTAGTGCAGCATCCTGGGCTGTTTTTTTCCCCCTTTGGCTTTATCTAGAATTTAATATTAATTGTTAATAACCTAGCCAAGATCACATGATACATTTGTGAAAATATATTTAGAATAGATTCATGTGATCTAACCAAAAAATCTTTTCTTTGATTTCATATGAGGAAGTCAGTGTGGGGATAGTTGTGTCTTGTGGCTGAAATGGAGGACTTTCTTCACTCCCTAAAAAACAATACTAACATTATTTATATTACTAATACACTATACTAGTGTTCACCAGACTTTCCAGTCGTTGGGTTAGCTTGGAGTTTGGAGAGCATCAGATTGGAGAAGACTGACCTTTATCATTGTTTTGGAAGCCGCAAAGGCCCGTAAGGGTCTTGACTCTTGATTAGGACCAAAACCTGAAGGAACATTAAGTTCTAATATGTACGTGTTGCACTGAGATGGATTCATTTGTCATACTAATAGCAGGAGATGCCTTATTGAGCAAAGAAATTAAATCAGTACTTATCAAGAGAGAAAGGGAGCCTTTCTTGTTCAGGACAAATGACTTGGGAAATATGCAAATGTGTGACAATAATAAAGAAACTGTCCGATGCATTTTCCTTACTGACTGCAAATGCCTTTATCTCATTCAACCAGCCTACTTAGTAAAACAAACATACAAACGAACAACCAAAGATCTGATGTCTAAATTCAGGCCACTCTTTATATTTCACTTACGCTAGAGCATTCTGCCTGGCCACAAGTGATCTGAGAATCTGTTCTACACCTCCTTGCACACTTCTGACTGTGATAGCCAGTATGGTCTAGGTACCAGGCTAGAAACTGGGAGACGGTGAGTTCTAATGCTGCCTGAGGCATGAAAACCAACTAGGTGACTTTGGGCCAGTCTCCGCCCAATTCATCTCTCAGGGATATTGTGGGGAAAATAGGAGAGGAAGGAGTTATTTATTGAGTTATTTATATAAAATAATAATGGTGGAATAAATAAATAAATAAATAAATAAATAAATAAATGAAGCAGGAGAATCCAAACACTGCAGTAGAAGCCCTATTGTACTTTTAATATATCTTTAAAAGGAAGGATTAAACAAAACTCTAAAGTCTCACTTGCCAAAGTCAAAGAAAAATCAGAAAATCTTAGTCTCATATGTAGAGCACAACTCTGCCTACAGACTGTTGTTTCATTGTTCTCCCCTCTATAGCTTTTGCATCCCAACCACATGATGGGTGCATTCCTTGGTTGCCAAAATACAACCCATCCTTATTTGATTTTCAAAAGCTCCTTTAACTAAGGGCTGTCTGTCAAGTAAGACCCACAACCATATTTCCAGTGGCACACTTATAAGCTTAGCCATAAATATGTGAGCTAATAATGCAGTGGAGGAGAATGCCTACTGTAAGATCCAGTATGTATCAGGGGTAAGACCAATAGCAACGGTACCAGAACTTCTCAGTAAAATGTGGAGAATCTCTCTTGGTTGATATATAAAATACAGTAAATGAATTCATCTCATTGTCTAACAAGCTCCCTTTCCCAATTGCATCTCCTTGCCTATTGTGTTCCTCTGCAGTTTACAGAATTTTGCAGAATGTGGTATATTTATTGCAGTGGTGTAAGACTTTTTGTGATGGCATTTTTGGATAGCAGGATCAGGTTGTTAGACAATAGTGAGTGGTCCCAAATCCTATTTCCCAACAGGTTTCTAACTATTAAAAGCTTTCTATCATGAATCAACAATTCATCCAGTCAAATGGTTTGGCCAACTTTCTTTGACTTAGGCATCATTCAGGTATATAGATTTCAACTCTCAGAATCCTACAGTAAAAGCATGACTTTTACAGATAAATCTTTGAGCTGAAATTCAGAGGAGGAGAATGCATGGATAAAAAAGCTATCATAGAGCATAACATTTCATATCATACCACATCACATACCACATCACTTCAGACACGATGCTTTTTAATGAACACAATTCACACAATCAGCTGCATCACTGTGATGATGATAAACAAAATGAGCCAAAATGAGAGTCAGCCCTTAGAAGGGAAAGGTAGCCATGAAAGGGAAAACTAGGGTAGAAAAAGGCTTGACCAGGACTGCTCATATTCTGTGCTTACCACTTAGAACTTGCCCTTCTTAAAATCTGTCATTATGGCTTATAAGAAAGGTTTAAAAAACAGTTTGAAAATATATAACCTAGAGAAACAAAAAAAGATTGGCAGGGCAACACAGGAATTCAAGTAACTGATTAGGGAAATGATATCTCTGGTGTAAAAAAAAATCTGAACATCAAGCATAGGCCTTTGTGAAGTTAAGGAAACCTCTGGCACTTTTTGCTTAGTGATAATGCTTTACCTTACAAGGAAGACTATGAACTAAAGCTAGAAGAAAGATAAAACAGCTGAACATCCTGGTGAGGACATGCAGAAGTATATTGGGTTGTGTATTCTAGACCAGGGGTGTCAAACTGCCGGCCCACAGGCCGGTTTCATCACACCGAAGCCACGTCCACCCCTTTGCTGGCAATGCAAAAAGAGTTGCGATACGTCGCAACACATCACGTGATGTGGCAAGTTTGACACCCGTGTTCTAGACGGTCAGTAACTTATAGTGGGTAAATGTCAACATAGTGCTTTAATGCTTTTACAATCCCAATCAACAGAGTTCAAGTAGCATCACTGAAAGTATCAGCAATGGGACAGATTGGAAGTGTTGGAGATGCTAATTCTACCAACAATTTCCTACTGATACAGTTTTTATCCTTTCTCATACTGCTCTTCAGAGATTGGCTACTTTCCAACCACTTTAGCTTCCTTTGTCACTCACAAATGAATTAAAAAATATTTTACTGAAACAATGAAAAATAGTGTCATAATTTCATTTTTAAGTTTAGAAGGCTTCTTTGCATACATGTGCTCTCTCTCTTTCTCTCTCAAACACACACACACATAAACACACACACACACACACACACACACAACATCCCCCCTCTCCAGGCTGACTGTAAAAGGTTGCTGGATGGGGGAAAGGAACTGTTGTTCTTTCTTTCCCAAAGCAGATTGAAAGAAGGAAATGTGGCTTGCATGCTCCTTTCTTGTGGCAGGAACGAAAGACCTTTATGCCTTCATTTTTGCCTCACAGATTTCAAAACTTAATTTGGCTGCCCCTCCATGGACTTCAACCAACTTCTCATCCCACTGGACTTTGTTGCCTTGCAGCTGGCTGGTGCAGTTGGCCAGACCCACGATCTCTGCTGGCATCAGGACATGATCCCACATGTTGAACTGAGAAATTTCCCCAACGAACGCCTGAGTTGCATCGAATCTCCCTCCCAATGTATCCTGTGGCATCAAAATGGAGAAATGGGAAAACAAGCAAGGTAAATGGGAAAAATGGGTTAAAATGTTGAAGAAAAAAACTAGAAAATAGTAGGATAGAAAAATATTGTTACTGATGGTAACTATTAATTTTAGTGTAGAGGTTGCCAATTCTTCAGTTTCAAGGGCTGTGTTTCATATTTTGGAGGGATGAGGGAGTTAACGAATGACAGCGAATAGGGAAACCATACAGGGTAGGAAAAGCTATTTCATGCTCATGTTCCCTGGGTTTCAGGGACTCCAGTTTAAACCAAAAATCTTTTAATTTTCTAGATTTCAAGGCTGATGGGTTTTTCTTTGGGTCAAGAGAAGACTAATAGAGGATCTCTTAGACTCAAATTCTGCTTCTTTAGTTCAACTGCTAGTCAAGTTGCTTGAATATTGCTTTGGTCATTAATTTCCAAAATCATGTGGAGAAATCAGACTTACCTGTTCCTGGCCCAAGATCATCACTCCATGAGGTTTGATTGCATGCCAAGATGCTAGGTTATCACTGGCTCCACGCTCGACTCCGTCTTGATACACAGACCAAATGCCATCCCGAGTGATCCATGTAATGCAAATATGGTGCCATGTCCCATCCTTTAAAGTCATGGGCAGATGAGCCACCTTTCCAACAGAACAGAACAGAGAGTGCCTTAACAGCATAGTGCAAATAGATGTTTTGTAGATGCTTTTTTGTCCTTTCCTAAAATTGCCATACCCATCACTGTCACAGTTGGTTTCCCAAAAGTCTTTTAGTCTAGAATGACTTGTCTGAGTGCAGCCATTATGGCAACACATCAGACAGATAAAACTGAATGGAACAGAATAATCTTTCTGGTCATTTTTCCAAAGAAAAATCTGATTGCAAAGGGATTCCACAGCTGGATTGTCACTACCCAAAGATGTCTATCATGAGTACTTGGCAACGTTGTATCTCTACATGGTAGATCATATAACAGACCTCTCAATTAGAATTGTAAAATTTAGATCAGTGGTTCTCAACCTTTTTAATGCCACGACCCCAACCGGTCGTAAGTCGAGGACTAAACCGGTCGTAAGTTGAGGACTACCCAACCGGTCAGTAAGTCGAGGACTTTCCCTGCCCGGGAGCACCGCGCATGCGTGGTTCCACCCCCTGCGCCGGCCGAGGCGTAGCTGGCAAGCGGCAGAGACGGAGCAGGCCGACCACCAGCTGGCCCAGCCCAAGCGAGGTAAGGCACCCGCCGGAAAAGGGGGGAAAAATGGCGGACAAAAAAAATGGACAAAAAAAATGGCGGACAGCCTTGCTTGGCGACCCCCATGAAATGGTCAATCGACCCCAAATGGGGTCCCGACCCACAGGTTGAGAACCACTGATTTAGATGGACTCACAGGAAAAGACAGCTGCCCTTCAGAAAGCCTGAACCCAAACCATTTTGTTTTGTAGACTAAAATCCCCAGCCTGAATTGTGTGTAGTAGGAAAATATATCCAAGAGAGGTCTACAAAAGTAGGCCACAACAAAAATATGTTGCTTTTGATTCTATCTGTACTTTCTGAACACTTTTCAAGGGCTGTTCCATGCAGACAGCATTATAGACATCTAAAGGAAAAGCAACCAAACCTGGGCAAAGCCATTCCTGCTACTTCATGACTGTGGCCCTTGATTTTCCAGGATCAGAGCACAGTCACTTTCAGCCCTTGTGAATCAGGGGGCTGAGCTGGCTTTTTGTGGGTGGGATTGTATTTTCAGAGGTGTATTGCTGGCATGCAGAATCGCTGGAGGGGTGGGGAATCTGTTTTTTGCCTCCCTTTCTGATGGGGGTGCTGTAAGTAGGTAAAATAGGTACATTGAACCTATTTGTTTTCAGATTGTTTCTAGAAAAATAAGTAAAACAATCACACCGCTGAAAATCAACTATTCCCACTGACGTTGGGAGGTGTCATCTTAGGCACTTCATATTTTAGCAATTCATAAAAAGTAAATTTGTGTCAGATATGTCTGCACAGGGAGGTCATAAAAATCAAAATGACTTGGCAGTGCAGTCCTTCCATGCTACTGTGGTCCTCCAGCCTAGGGAAATTGTGCATTGTTACTACAGCTAATGCCATTTTTAGAGCAGGTCGGTGTCTGTGCCATTCAATTCATTCTATGCTGGAATCTCCCTTTACCTTACCTTGTCATTAATTATAAGTTCCATAGGATTGTTTCCCCATACTATCAGTACAAGCTCATTGGCTTGTCCAGGAACAGAATAGGAGAAAGGGGTGCCCACTTCTGCTGAATTCTTAGCTTTTAGCCACATACTGATAGTGAAGGCATATAGTTCAGGCAAGCTTTTCTTCATCCGAGCGTACATGTAGTTGTTTCGTACAGGGATGGAAACTTTAAAGGCTTCTGGAGCATTGAAGACTGTTGTTTCTATGTGCACAGGAGATAAATAAGAATCAAAAGAATTATGAAAGACTAGCAGAAATTGAGAAATAATTTTGACATAGGATCAGACAGTTGTTATCTGAAAGGGCTGCTGAAATGGGTGTCAGATTTTATAAATGATCAGTACATTAGTCATATTCTATCATAATTTGAGATCATATGACAAGGTCAATTGGTCTTAGATTCAAGAAATACCACTTAGCACATAACTAATTTATGGGATCCACAGCCACAAATGGGGAGGGGATAGTCACTAGGGTAGCTGGCTTTAAGAGAGGTGTCATCCAAATGACAAAAGCTGGTTGTGTCAATCAATGGTTACTAGTTATTTTATAATGGCTGTATGGAGCTTTTCATTGGGACATATGCTATCAGATAATATTTGCTGAGGAGCAAGAGCAGAAGAGACTCACTGTAGCACCAAATCAGAAAGTACTTCCAAGATAAAGATTTCAATAGCACAGCATTTTGGTGCATTCTTTCTAGTTTTTAAACCTTTGTTTAAAGAAATAAATATAACTCATACCCAGAGTTATATAACTATGTACTAAAAATGAATGTATGAAAGTTCTGACTTTGACCCCATATTTTGGGTTCCTCATGGTCACACTAACCATGCTCAAGCTCAGAGACTCGGTTATGGAGAGTATCCAGCTCCTTTTCGACATTTTGTTGCTGTACATTGTGGCTGCTGGTGATGGAGGTGCGTTCTTTCTCCAGAGCTAAAAGCTTAGAGAGGATTTGTCCTTCCAGTTCCTCCATCTTGGTGTGGATGGTCTCTTGAGCTGGCACAGGGGCAGAAGTAGAAGAAGCATTCATTCGAGTGGGAATATCCTGCTGCACTCATAGAAGAGATTAAAAAAGAGGTAAAAACAGATTAAAAATAACTTAATAATTTAGAGATGCCTTTATTGGTATATTTATATTTCTACAGTACCCACATATAGCTAGGGTTGGGCTTTGGGAGAAAAGATCATGATTCTGCAGCCATGGGGGGGAGGGTCCCCAGTGATTTCCAAAGGATCAGTTCATGGGGATAGTAACCCTGGTAGGATTGATATTATACCATTTAAAAAAAAAATCATACGCATATACATATACTCGTGTCAACCAATGATCATTTTTTGTGATTTTTAGTTAAAAATCTATCCTTTTTCGAAATAAAATAGGACTTATAATACAGAACAATATCTAAAGTACCTCTCTCCAACAAGTCCAGGATCTAAAGTTACTTTGTTCCAATATTCCACCCAAATAGTTAACATAGACTCAGCAGCATAAAAAGCTGAGAGCCATAATATTATGAATATGTTAAAACTGTTGATCTGACCCAAAACTGTTTAGAATCTTTGTGTACCTACTATACCAGTGTCCTCTGTCCTGGGCCCCAGGGCCACCAGAATGATAGGAGGGGGTGCCTTGCAAATTCCATTGGAAATATTCATATAGCGGATTAGGGAAATGGTTAGAGCAGGGTTTTTTTTTGACTTTGGGAACTTTAAGATGTGTGGACTTGAAGCAAGCTAGCCAGGAAATCTGGGGAGTTAATGTCCATGCATCTTAAAGTTGCCAAGGTTGAAAAACACTGGATTACAGTTACAACTGAGCTGCAAAAATCTTGACAAAGCTTCAGCAGAGGGATGGTATTTTCTGTATCTATTTACTGCCATCTACTGTCCATCTGGATTTGTACAGCCCGGATATAATAATGGAAAAGCTCTCTCTCTCTCTCTCTCTCTCTCTCTGTGCGATGGGCAAAGAAAATGTTTTTATAGTTCTGGGTTAAAAATGATGAAATGACAAAGTAAGCTTCCTATTTATCTCTTTCTTCAAGATGTATTTTGGATAGAAGTGAAGCTTTTCTGTCCTATCCATTTCTTATTAAGTCTAAATATCAGTTCAAATATAACTTATCTTTATCACAACAAACATATTGTACCAGTTGATTACATCCACAATGGGTAAAAACTTTTTGGACATGAGATTTTAACATTAGTGGCAAGCAAAAAAGGAACAAGAGGCGAAATACCTTCCCACATCAAGAATACATTAATCCCTTCAGATCTTTTCTGACTTTTGGACCAGGTATAGGTCTTTGGTTAATTGTCTTATACTTATTAGCTGTTTGAGAAATTTTACTTTAAATTGGAAAATGCCTACCAATATATGAAATAAGCACAGTATCTATATTTTTAAGACTTTTCAATTAATGTGCTTCTTTCTGCTTTTCCACACTCAAAAGTCTGGAAAAGAATGCCTTTAATATCCTAAGTTGCCAGGGACGGAACTGGCTATCGGTGAACAATAAATGGACTTTTTCTTGCCCCTTTGACCAGCCAGTCTCTTTGATACTACATAGAAACTTTAATTTTACAGTTCTGTATGCTGTGTAACTTCAGGTGTTGAGGTCACAGCTGGTATTAGATAGATAAGTTCCATAACTAGAACAAATCCTTATTACTGTTTGCCAGAACGGATAGTCCTGCTGGGGAAAAAGTTCCCATATAGAGAAACCTATTTTTTCTTCCTGTACTCTGATTACAGCAGAGATCAGACACATCTTTTCAGCCACAAAGCCCTATTTCACTGACTTTATGCTAAAACACCCTTGATGTTAAGCTGTATTAGTACATATGCAGTTAAAATTGCAGGAAGCAGCAGATCTACTCTGTTATTCCAGACCTACCACAAATATTGCATCCAGTTCCAGCCTGGAAAGGAGGATTCAGATAAACTGGAAAGAGTTTGAAGAACCATGTGGATGACAGGAAACTCAAAACAACTATGTGTAAATCTTTTAAGGGACATCTTGCTTTGATAAAGATGTAAGCCAAGTATCTCTTTGAATCGCCTCAGGGAAGGGCCATAGCACCACCATGCTTCCAACTTCTGGAACAAAGCAGCTCTGGAGTTTCATTAAGTTTATCAAATAAATTTCTGTGAATGTACAGAAACCATTTTGTTTAAGTAAAGAAACTTATGAAGGCAGAGTGGTGTCATATTGATGCCTCACGGCCTTTAAGTAGTTTGCTGCCTGTTGCTCTTAACAATGTACCTCTGGAAGGTAAAGCACCATTGAAACAGATAGTATACAATCCTCAGAGGCTTATCCATTAAATTCCTTGAAGAAAAATTAAGGAAGTCAATTGCAGGACAATATGACAACATTCTTCAAGTGCATACAAGAATGTCTCCCAGAAGAAAACTGTGACTCAAGACATGGAATAATAAGCTTAGTCCAGGGAAACACATTCTGCTTGAATGTTAGAAAATATTCCTTATGGAGAAGAACAATTTGGCAGTAGAATTAGTTATGAAAGGAAATAATAGCTTGAACTGAATGTTCAAGAGGCTGGATAAGACATTTTTAACGAGCAGCATGTGTGATTTTGATTTTAGAATCTGTTTTATAATAAATCGTGTTGGGGTTAACAATGATAGAACATGAAGTTCAGCAGACATGTCTGCTTTTATTTTTTCCTGGTCGTGATTCTTAATTTTTATGAAAGAACATCAGTAAAAGCAGATTGTTTTAGAAGAGAAACGGAAAAGGAAACACTAAAGAAGGTGTGAAGGAGACAAATCTGGAGGATTTTGTTTTGTTAAACCAATATTTTGCATATCTCCAAGGCTGAAATGTACTTATTTTCAGATTTAAATAAATATTTTAGGGCCAAATACTTTTAGAAAGTTTTGGGAGGAAATATATCTAAACCTAAATTAAAGATCTGCTCTATAAAAGAGAGTAGGATGTTGTTATGATGGGGCTTACTAAACCACAGTTAAATAAAAATGTGGTGTTTCAATGTTTAGGAGGAAGTCAGTCACATCTTAGGGTATTCTAGGAATTTGCTGCTTTGTGTGGCCCAAACTTTAGGAAAATCTGAAGAGTGGGTGAAACATCAGGTGCCTTGAGGGTATTCTTATTTTCAAATGCAGAGTAGGGAATTATAAAACAATCTTTCTGACATTGATTCCTGGAAAAAGTCTAGAATAGTTCATAAAGAGATCAGTCTTTAAGGTTTGAAAACAGTGTGTTACCAGAAGTTACATAAACCTGTCAAGAATCACTCCTGCCATATTAACCTTATCACATTTTGTGATTTGATAAGATACTTAATAGATTGTGGAAATGTTATAGANGTTATAGATAGACTATTTCTTGATTTCAGCAAAGCATTTGACTAAGTGGCCCAAGACATTCTGATTAATATAGCTAATCAAGAGTGGGTTAGATGGTTTAATGTTGTGTAAATACATAGTTGGTTTGAGTGCAAGGTCTTATATTCTTCAGGTTTGGTTTTTTTTACTAATGACTTGGGTGAAGAGGTAAATAAAATGTTTATCAAAATGGCAAGTCACAAAATTGGATGGGATAGTTAATATTAAATTTGAAACAAACTTTATCGGTTAGAGAAATGGGATAAAATTCCATAACGAAATGTAATAAAAACAAATGCAAAGCTCTTTACTTATGAAACAGAAATGAAATCCGCAGTTGTTGAATATGTGCCTTGGCAATAGTAGGTCTGAAAAAAACACATTAAATATTAGCTGATTACAAACTGTATATATTATGAAGATGATGTGGGTCAAAAAAATGCAACTTTGTTTCAACAGAAATAAACTGTTCAAATCACAGGAAACAATAATTCTATTTGATATTTTTTTTCTTGGTCAGACCTCGGCTCAAGGACTGGGTAAACTTTAAGAAAGATTCAGACAAACTGTTCAGAAAGGGCAATAAGGATGACCAGGGACTAGAAACTAAGTCATATGAAGAGAAATTGAAAGAAATAGGAATATTTAGCACTCGGAAGACTGATGTGAATCTGACAGCACTCTTTAAATATCTGAAAGGATGCTATGAGAACTTCGCCATTGTTCCAGAATTCAGAACATAAAATAAGGGATTTAAAATAAAAGAAAACAGATTAAATGTTACAAAAAACTTCCTAAAAGTGAGAAGTTGAAGTAGTGGTGGATTTATCTTCACCAGCTATAGCCAGAGGTTAAATAGTAATTTGTTGTGGATGCTTTACTTTGGATTCCTGCATTGAGCAGGAATTAGATTTAATAACCTAAATAACCTGTTCCAAATCTTTGAGCCTGTCTGTGGCTCCTTGAAAATATCTATTTTAGAACCATATGTAAAAAATACTTTTAAATAGACCTGTACATCTAAAATTTAAACAACTATTCTATTTTATACTAGGAGGTTTATGAAGAAATGAGACAGAATGGATTTATAAACATACATATGAGAAAATAACATGATTCGGCAATAAACTACATTAGTATTCCCCAACTTGATGTTCTTCAAATATGGTAAGCCTCCATACAGATCTGGAGACCATCATGCTGGGGACACTGTCTATCCTTCATTAGCGTGGGTTAAATTAAAGGAAAAATAAGAAAGTCAAAGGTGGAATGAAAGGCAGAAATGATAAGCAGGAACAAATATATATATATGAAAGTAACCCTCTTCTACCCGTGTTATTTCTCAGTCTGCCCAGCTACCGATATTGGCCACTTACATCAGATGTTAATAAAAATGAAGGCAAAAAAGACTCCCTGCCGTCCATAGCTCCCTGCCGCTCTCATTCATTATTGGAAAAGCTGATCTAGAGAAATGCATCTATTATTGAAACCTCTTTCTGTGTTTTGATGAACTACTCCTAGGTGTTCCTAATTAAAGCTGTAGCTTTTCTTCTCATAATTAATCAGCACATTCTCTCTTCTTTGTAGAAGATGAGGTTATGGGGGTTTTTTGCCAAGGGAAAAAGTTGGTCCATGTCTATCTATGTATGTTAATCAAGCACATCTATCCAAAAGAG